CTAATCAGTCTAGTGTTAGACGGGACGAAAACGGCATTCCCCAAGAAATACCGAGTCACATGCATAACGTGGCAATGGCAGCTAAAAGAAACCGTAAATCATCAACCGATAAAATGATTGATGAACTCGACGGATCAAAAACACCCAAAAAATCAAAAGGTCGCGCTCCTGCTCCTCCAGAAGAAAACAGCCTTTCCATCAATACAAATATAGAAAATGGTGAACCCGAATGCGTAAGATCACACAAAGAAGTTGGCGGTACAGAGGGCAAGACATACCCAGAAAAGCATCCTGATGAAATATTCAAACACTGCAGCCCTAAATATAATAAAAGTCATAACCAGCATTCAAATTCAGGTCCTAAAGAAAATGGTAAACCCACAATTAATAATTTAAACGAAAATGGAATTTCTGGTTACGCGTTGGACTCAGATGCAGAGAGTGATAATCAGTCGTCTGTAAACACCATAGCTCTGAATTCTAGTGACATCACGATTCATCATATTGAAGATAACGAAGAAATTCAAAATCGTAGAACGGCTAGTACAGGGGATTTGTCAAAACTACAGAGAGCCAAAAAGGGAGGCGGAAGTACATTAGAAAGGGCTCAAAGTTTAGACATCGCCGATACAGGAATTACATTGCCAAAAAAGCATAAATCGGACAATTTGGAAATGACTGGATCTGACGAGAGTGTTTATGAAAAATACATGATGTATAAAGAACCGAGACTATCGCTCGTCTTAGATGGGCTTAATACATTTCAGAGAAGTCGGCTAAAGAAATCAACAGAATGGGGAAATTTGGAGGATGCAATTTTAAATTTGGACAAAGACACAAACAGCGAAGAAAGTAAACCACCTTCGTATGAAAATTCAAGCTCCAGAGAATTCGACGCTCTCGTGAATAAAATAAACGAAATTAAAAACGAAGACGTAAAAGACGTAGAAAACGAGATGGTTAATGACATTGCCAAAAAGGACGTCCTTCATAAAACTTATAACGACCTAACAGAGATTATGAACGACGAGAAATCCAACATAATGGAAGAATTAAGTAAACAACATTCCGACCGCATTATTTTAAAAAATCTGTCACCTTATGACGACATATCTGTACTAAAGGACATGGAAAACGCCCCTTCAAGCATAGATGACACTTCACTTGAAAATGTCGAATTAAAAATATTACCTGAAGAACCCTTACTGATGGAAACTACTGCTGCAAACCCAAAAGCAGTACTAACAGCAACAAGTCCTCCACCAGAAGATTTATTGGAAACCAACGGAATAACAACCAGTGAGATTGAAATGTACCTTTCCGAAGACAATGCGGATCAGAAAGCAGAAGCACCAAAAAGGAAATCCAGAAATCAAATTTGGCCAACTTTTGAAACCCAAACTGAAAAACCAACCATACCACCGCGAAAACCAGAGCCACCTCTTCGTAGACCCGAACCACATCTTCGAGAAAAACATCGACATCCTGAGGTAGAAAGTGTCGAAAAGAAAAATGAAAATATTATAACAGTTACTAAGGTGGAAGTTACGGCTGTCGAGGAACCACAAATTATTACAAATTTAACTGAACTGGACATACCAACTACTGAATCAGAAGCCAAAAAATGTCAAACAACCACTACAATAACTCTCAATTCGGGAGTAAACGTTTCTAAACCCATTTTGGGTAATGAAGAACCAGCGGTACCATCACCATCTGATAAAAGCAGAGTGCAAATTTCTTCACGGTTCTTCAAACCGAAATTAATGAAAGAATTTTCTGAAAATTTAATAATAGCTGAAAGATTATTCGGTTTGAACGATCCTTTTTATAATTCGATGGATTCATCTAGCCTCGACCTGAACGTTTCAGATGACATGAAAGTCTCTAGACATTCCTTAGGAAACTTGCAAACTGAAGCAACGGCTTTACCTTTAGAAAAATCCAGTAAACAATTTGAAAATAATATCAGTAGCATTATGATAGAGTCTCCATATCAAACTAGCGTAATAGATCAATTAAGTGCTTCTTCTAGTCTACCTATTAACGAAAACTACGTAGCTGATTCTGATGCAAGTATGAATAACACAACGTCATTATATACCACTGCTTTGGATCAAACGCTTACACAGGCAAATGAATCATTAAAAACAGTGAGCGAGGTGGAAGTAGAAGAGGAAGACAAAAACGTACCGGTAACAACTCCAGATATCATAAAAAACATCACGTTAACAGAAGTAATTAATACAGTTAACACACAAATGAGCTTACTAGATAACAAGCCTAAGTCACTAAAGTTACAAGTGGTAGGGGATTCCGAATCGGATGAAAATAATAAAAATGTTGCTAAAAAATTGATTTATGAAGAAACTCCAGTGGACAAAAATTCAACTGTTAACATTACCGACAGCTCAGATTCTAATGATTCCTTGACATTCGTAACAGAAATTCGAGTATCTCCAAATGCATCAGTTAGTAGTAACATATCAGATACAGACACTTATTCTATTTCACCAGAAGATCCTTCTCACAAAAACCTCGAAAACAAATTTGAAAGTTACGTGAAAAACTTCGAAACTAACAGAAAAATGTTCGGCTCCCCGGTTAACAGTACAACGCACTACAAAACTGAATCTCGAATACCATCAAAAATAACGTCAAACAGTGATAAGAACCAGCCAGAAAAGGACCTTCAAAAAATACACGAAATTGTTGAAGAACAACTGAAAAAACTCCCAGAAATGAGATTTTCAACGTCCAGTTACGAATCGACATCAAAAATTCCCGAAAAACGATCGTCTCATATTGAACAAATTAGATCAAACTTTGAAAAAAATTCAAATGACAAAAGTCCAACAAAACCAAAGGCGGAGGGAGTTAAATCGCGAATACCAGTGGCAACACAAAAAACACCCCCAACATCTCCTGAACGTAGAGATTCTAGGCCAGATTCGGAAATAAACTCGGACATTCTCGAACTTATGTCTTCCAAAGTGCATTCAACTCCTGTGTCTAGCAATCTTCGGTACCAACCCAAAATTCCAACAAAAAATGTCACGGTGACTTCCATTCGCGGTAATTCCAAGATACCTTCGGGAATACCCGGTCGACCACCTATACCAACTAGGAAACCTGAAAATTTAGAAGCACAATCCAACGGGAACGGTGAGAGCAGCTTTAAACAATGGGTATTCACCCAATCTGAATCTGCCGTTACCAATATAATCGTTGACAATTTTAAACCGGAACAAAAATGAATGAATGAATAGGTATATGTATACGTATACTTTGTTAACACTTTATTGTTACCTAACAAAAGAGATAAAAGTTGTAATTAATTAAATTTACACCAGAGCAATGGTATTTTGAAAGACGTTTGATGAGAAAGAACAGAAAGAAGAAAAAACGCAATCATTTTATATGTATGTAGTCTAAATGTTGAAAAACATATCACAGTCAACCTGATTATATTTTGGTACACAGAGTTTAGAGAATAAAAAGGCTTTAGCATTTCAATTTTTCGGGATGTTGTATACAAGAGGGTTGTGTGCCATATGCAATACTGTAAATATTTGAATACCTTTATTTAGACTGTTTAAATAGGAACAAATTTTAATTTTGTGTTGTTTTTAGTACGAATATAATTTATCGAAAAGTTTTGCTGAAAACGATTAAGTGTACCTATATGTTAACAAAAAATTAAATTTTATTTGTAAGAAAATTAAAATGTATATTTAGTATATCTTCCATTTTAAGATATTTTTCGTTAGCAAGAGCACAAAATGCAATTATAATGTTTTGCATTGTTATTAATTAACCAATTACATTTTCTTTTATATTGTGGAATGGAATTCTTATAGATAGATTTACGAATAAGTGTTGGAGGAATTGTTATTATTTATACTTATAATAATTTAACTGTAT